ACGCGCTGGCCTAAGGCCCAACCCACCCGACCGAGGCTCGGAGGTCATCTATTGCACGAGTTTTGTCTCCTTGTAGCACGCCAAAACGGCGCGAAGGAACCCACCCCTCCGGGAAGAGTTCATCCAACTGACTCTCTGTGTAAGGCCCGTACAGCCATCCAGAGCCGTCCAGTGATTGCTCATGAGCCTCATCCCATAGTGTCTGGGCTGCCTCTTGTCTGTCATCTGTGCCAGGTTTCTTGACCATGCCTCGAATCCAAGGAGCTGCTTGCTTAAGCTCTTGCTCGGACATTGAGGCAGGCTTGATAGAGACTGGGAATTGGCCGCAAGGCTCTGCATAGCCTAAAATTTTGAATCCGTCACAAATCTGTTGAAACAGGCCGTCGTCCTGTACACCGGCGGCCTGGGCAAGTTTACGAAAGAGCAGCAGCCGTTTGCCTTTCAAGACACGTGCAACTTCAGGATGCAATGTTCGGTGCAAGATTTCTTCCTCTTTCCTGAGCTCAGCCTCAGACTGAAGAAGCGCTTTCAAGGCATTAGTCCTAAAGGAACAAACTTCGTGGCTGGAGGCGCAGGCAATCCACTGAATGTTGTCAAGTGCCGCAGGCTCGCAACCTGACAAAAGATCGCACGGATGTTCGGCTTTCAGAGCTTTGTCAAGAAATTCATGAACCTCCCACTGCTCAGCATAAGTAACATGTTGCATTCCTCGGGCACTCGTGGTTTCCACCGCAGGCATGGTTTCATGGCACGGGTCATGTTCAGATTCCCCACTAAGCAAATGGGCCGTGGCATGATGCAGGCGCCCACTGGTAAGACGAACGGCGCCGGTCGGAACCCCGGGAAGGCAGGCAGACCCCCCAGTAGGGATGACATCGGGGAGGTCACAGTCGGTGGGCACCTGCAGTCGAAAAATGCGTTTGTACACAGGCACGACCGAGGGCGCTGCATGCAACTTTGTCAAGCCCTGCACTGCTGCCGAAGCTGGGCGCAACGGAGAAGGCAGGGTAGCAGAAGACAGCAGAGGCACACAATTTTGCACGACAGCTTCACAAAACGGTAGGGGGAGCATGCGGGGATTTACCGAGGTAGGAGCGACCTTGGCCCACGGAGCGTGAGTGTGCGAACCATCACATAGGCGTTGCAAAGAACAGAGAGCAGACACGTTGTGTAGCAAGCGAGTGCGGCGCTTGCGATCGCATCCAAACTGACACAAGTCCACATCGGTCAAGAAGTGCGGCAAGCCCACAAGTTGGGTACGTAGGGTGGGCCACAGTTTGGATGCCTGAGGTAGGCACAAGCAAAAGGCCGTAGCAGTTTCGGTCAATGTGGCCAACAGCAGCACCAAGAAGTCTTGAACAGACCCCCCGAAATCGCCAGGTAGCACAACAAAGACGAAGGCAACGGACCCATCACGGATGCGACTCAGACAGAATTGCACATCATCTGAGGAGCGAACATCCCAGCGCATGCACGGCACGTGCCAAGCCCGTGCAGGTGAATGATGAAGGGCCAAGGTACGAACATTCACCTTTCGCAAAGCACTGGAAAGCTGCGGCGGCTCCGAAAAGATTTCCAGGCAGAGCTGTTGGGAGGCCGGGCCGGGTGGAGGCTCAGGGGAACCCGAAGGACAGGGCCTAAAAAACCCTAACAAGGTAAGTTCCTGTTGCTGTCGGGCAGACAGACGCCCCACAGCTTCGATACAGAAGGCAACTAACACCACTCGTCGCCCCTGCCACGGCAGAGTAAAATGCTCAAATTCCCTGGCGGGTAGAAGACAAGGTTGCACGCGGGGATCAAGGACATGACCTTGGACAGGGTGACCTGCTTCGAAAGCGGTTTCTGTGCCTCCAGGCCGAAGCACAAAGATGTTTCCGCCGGTAAAGTCATTCAGAGCAACAATCAGGTTGGGATCAAAACTGTTGCGGACGTCTTTATGGCGAGGCGCCTGCACGTCACAGAAAATGACGATAGATGTGTACCTGTGCTGGCACGGTCGAATTTGCCTGACAAAAGAGTTCATAAGCTGCACAGTCAGCGGAAACAGCTGGTTGTTCCGCCTTAGACCAAAACGATCATCGCGTACCCAACATCCACACCCGAAGGACAGAGGCATAGGAGCACCGCGAGATGCGTCCTCACGGGGTAGCAAGTCAAACAAATGCAAAACGTCCTCACGGGTCGGCAACCTGTCAAGGAGTACCTTGCGAGAGAACAACTCAGCAGGATGCTCAGGCATGGAGATACCGGGGAAAACAAGTTCGAGGTTGACAGAAAAAGGCACCTCAGAGGTGGTCGAATCGTATGCGATGCGCCCATAAGCTTCTACAGCAGCTTCAACACCAAAGCCGGCCACTGAAGAAGTAGGGGCAGCGGTCCCAAGTCAAGCATGCTTTATGAAAGGATGCTTCTGAAAGCAATTGGGCATGCAGCACAAGTGTTTGCCTTTCGGGCAACTGGCAGCATCTCCAGGTTCGCATTTGCCGAGGTTGTAGTTCCAGCACAAAGGTGAACCGCTGGAATCAACTGGAACCCCGCCCTTCAGAGCCGCAGGCATGTAAGGGGACTTCTTTGGGCGGATGTCCCGGCATGCAGCCATCTCGCTTCGCATTGACAAGCCCACGGCTTCGGCGTACAATTACGCGGATGAAACATGTTGGGAAATGCACTTCAGGACAGCAGCTCAAGCAATCAAGAGTTGTGGTTGAGAAGTGCAAAAACCACAGGTTTCAAAATTCCTACAAAAGGAAGGGCGCACACAACGCATGTTGTTTGATTGGCGGGCAAAAACATGTTTGCCCTTTTTACACTAGGGCAATAAAAACTTATCGCTCCGCGATGTGTGTCTTGTTTCCTTTGTAGGGGATGAGACGACCCAGAGCCAACACACCGGCCTGTCAGTCCATGTACTATCAGTCTTGAGCCCAGTGTCTTCGAAAAGTCCACTGAACGGCACTCTTGCAACCTGTTGTTGCAAAATGTTGCAAACACCTAGAGAGGGAAGTCGAGCTTTCTAGCTCGCGTTGTCGCAAGAGCTCGAATAGCAGTGGTTCTGAGCTTGCGATTGGTTGGTATATACTCGGCCATGACACTGGAGAGATCATGCTCGTCTGCAAAAAGGAACGCCACGAGGCCGTCATCAGGCAGCTGACCCCCGTCTTTGCCATAGTCCGGAGATCTTCCCTGCACTTGAATAAGCGAAAACCCAGCCCTGCCCACCGAGACATTCTTTGACGTGTTTTGCTGAATGGCGGTCGGTAGTCCAAAGCACAGAATCTAAAAAGCACGACAACTAGGGAGGCACACTCGTCGCCCTGGACCCTGACACACTCGCCAGGTCGAGTCGTAAAATCCCCCTCATCCCCATTTTCGAGGGTTGTGGAGGGCGGGAAAAGCGAAAACGGGCTGAAGTCGCACTAAGGCAGGCCAACACACGTCTTGCCGCTAGCCCTGTGAGCACAATTGCAGCCACGCATGTACACAAATCACAAACACCTCAACCTGGAGACGCACGCGTGCACCCCGCGGTGCCAGCACAGACCCCCGGAACCAAAGCTGGCAAGATGTTGGGCTCTGCCACCTGTCTCCCAAGCCGCGACGCCGTGACCTTTGAAGAAGTAAACACCATTACGGGGCGGGGCCGGCAGGTCCAGTCCAACAGCACACTGCTCGTCTTTATTCTGTGGAAGGAGCACCACAACCTGGCAGCCCTGGCACACTTGTCAACGCACAAGGCCTTAAAGTCAGCACTCAGCCAATCGATCAAGCGCAACAGCTGTCATACCTCAGCCGGAAACAACGACGTCGCCCGGAGCTGTCGCACCGCACCACTGCGTATGTCCACTTGAGGGTCTGGAGCCAGCGAGGGATCTCCGGCAGGAGCGCACTCCAAAGAGGAAATGCTTCAGTCAAAGGAAGTGTCTCCACCTGGGAGGCACCGACAACAACCAAGCCAGCGTGCGAAAGGCACTTCGGCACAATATCATCTGCGGATGCTTCCAGTCCATGTAAAGCCAAGCAAGGCAACATCCGGCCCTGGCACTAGCTGGCCCTGTTACAAGGCGCAAAGACCTCAGCCCAGCCCCTTCCGGGATTTCTGATGAAACAGAAGGAGGGGAACAGAAAATCTGGAGCACACCGAAGGTGAAACAGGCTTCGGCCGCTTTATCCACAACTCGAGTAGCAACGAAAACATGGCTGCACACGAAGACATGTCAAGCTCATGTCATCATCTGCACAACCTACATGTAACATGCAAAACTCTGCGCACACACACACACACTCACCAGAACAATAGTTACTCAAGCAACAAATCACCGTGTAACTGCCTGCTCCATAATCCCACTTCGATGCACTCTTCGTGCGCACCCTGCACAGAGAGAGCGAGAGAAAAACACGCAAGTGCATATAGCTGATAGTCGTAGTAGTTTAAGGTTCCTGGCGTGCACTGCTGGCCATTAGCCCGACCCCACAAACCTACCGCACGGTTTGCAGCAGCACGCTTCAGGATCCGGGACTTCCACGAAGCCATCCTGCAATTATGGGAGCATGGCCCACTCGAGATTCTAGCGCCGCAACTCAGAAGTGGATGTCCCCGTCCTCGGCAGCACTGCAACCAGCACAGTCCGGCCAAAGAAACAAACCCATAAGTTAAGTAACGACAGGAGCAGAATCAAGACAGCATGTCCTCGTCGAGCGGGCCCGACACGTCAAATTCCCTGCTTAGCGGTGACGGGCCATGAACGGCGGCATTGGCACCTCACCAGGCAGCACAAGCTCACACTCTAGACCTAAGAAACTCTGCCCGTGACGTGACACATCATGCAGTCGACACGTCCTCTTTCTCACGAGACCTGTAGAATCTAGCTAGCAGAATCTAGCATAGATTTCAAACTTCGATTCCTGAAAGCAACGGTTGGCACGAGGATTTCGTGAGACGTCAACGGAACAAAACAACCCCTCAATACGCGCACCAACTTCAAACGGAGGGTGGCTTCAGGGCGGGGGGGGAGGGAACTTCAGTAGTTGAACACGGTCCAGTTGGCACTCCACACTCGCTGCTGCAACTGTCAATCAAGCATGCACACGCTTCGCTACTTCGCTACACATACAGCGCGAAATAGAGAGAGTCTATGTCTATGTCACAATACTGGGCCAGTCACACTTTACACAACAGTGCGTATCGCCGATCATCAGCGCACACCCGCACAGCTTATTATATTGAGTCATATTGTCATATTGTCAACACAATCACAAGCGTTTCGCAAGTACACTTCCAGGCCTCACACGTTCTTACGCAGTGCATCAAGTGGCAGTCTCTCCTTTTTTTCATTGGTCGGACATGCCTGCAATCCCTAGGCAGCAGAACCTCTACCAGCGGGCGGGTGGGAAAATCAAGAATACTGTAGCACAGCTAATGCGCCAGCACCGAAGCTGTGGAGTGTACTCAACACCGATACACAACATCCAAGCACTGCTGGCAACAACACAACTGCACAGCACTGCATGTACATGTGAGAGACGGGTGTATTGCCAAACCCAGCCGAACCGCTACACCCGACACGTCACTGCTTGCTTCACCGCCAATGGTCGGCATCTACATTCATCGGCAGAAGTCTGGCCATTGCGCTCCTACCAGCCGCTTGTTCTTACAGTCCTGTGCCCAGCGTGTCACACACACACACGGTCTGGTCTGCGTGTATTACAAAGCCTGCAAATGCCGCCACACGCTGGCGCAAC